TGTACACTTTAAATGGATGAGTAACACAATTATATGAATGTAAATTATTCCCAATATAACTGTTGCCAAATAACAGTTCAGTACAATGTTGTCTCTAAAACCATGTCAATGAATTTTTCATACACTGTTACAACAGAATCCATGAGCCTATCTTGTTCTTTGAACAGACCTTATGCAGATCTTCCAAATGTTGACACATTTTCATTACATAATATCAAAAAGCCACATTTGTTAATATTACCAATGATCTAATAGAAGTCTTTCAAGTGTTGGAAAGTTATCAAGCTCAGGGTAGCGAATAACACATTTTCCAAAATTCTAATTTTCACCTCAAAGCTTGAATTTTATCTTTGGCAACAAATAATGTCAGATGTTTCCTGCGAAGGAACAGGTTCATTTCATTCGTTTTCAAGAAAGCACTTACCAAATATCCAAGTCTCAGTACTATGGCCTATTCTTTCAGGTAAAAATAGTGTTCTGAGGAAACAGTATGGAGCAGCCAGTCCAGCTCTCGACTAAGCGGGCAAACGCTCTTCCCCAACACACTCTCCAAGTTTAGCAGCACAGTGCTTGAAGGGTCTCTTTCCCACCTCTCTGTACACAGAAGATGGGTGCCCAAGGTCAAGGGTTAGCAAACTTAAGTCATTTTTACTCCAAATGTGCTAGTGAAGAATGCAATGGCTGCTAGCATATCAGATGCTGCTGACTCCACTAGTCCTGGATACCAGTTTCACCCACCATTTCTTTGGCACCATGAGTAAAAGTGACAACACACGAAAAAACAAAGAAAGACATATGACATGTTAATAATTTTTGAAAATCATTTTGATGGTCCAGAGCTCCTAAAAAGGTCTGAGAAGCCTCCAGGGTCTGCACACCACATTGGAAACCAATGGGCTAGGTCAGTGGTGGCAAACCTGTGGCACGCATGCCACAACAGGCTGTGTGTATCACTGAAAGCTCTAAAAGGTTTGCCATCACTGGTTAAGGTTATTCTAAGAAAAGAAATCTCAGGAGCTTAACGTTACAGATTATTATTACCTGTTCTTGTTAGCAGCCTAAAATGAGTGAGCCAGGGGCTCTGTTCATCCTTGTCTCTCAGCTGCAAAAGGCTCCCTCTACTCTCTCCACTCTTCTCCTAAGTCAGGGGAGGGTAACAGGCACTGCCCAAAGCCTAAAAGTAACCTCTTACACTGTGAGCCAAAGCAGGCCATATGGCCCCTCCTACTTGAAAAGAGGGTGAGAAATCATCCCACCTGCACCCAGAGGAGGATGACCCAGGTGAGAAGATCTCTATTGATTCCTGGAGGAGGCCAGCAAAGGACACAGGTGTGTGAGTGGCCCAGAGGCCAACACGTGTCCAGCAATCTGAAGCATGCAGTTTGGCTCATACCCCTGACTGTCATCAGACAGGAATGGAGACCCGGTGCTAACAAATCTCTTGGTTTTTCAAGAGAAGCTAGAAGATTTATTTGAAATCTCATACATTTTTAATCCCATCGCTGAAAAACACTGTGCGAACACTGCAGGCTTGCTGTTTCATCTGTCGTGATGTTACAAGTTAAAAACATGGGCTTTAAAAATCAGGCAGACCTGCATCAAATCTCAATCCGCACCTTCACAAAGGAATGATATCCCTAACCATAGAATTCCTATAAAGAGCAAAAAAACACAACAGTAAAACAGTCAAAAGCATGTAGGGCAAAATAGAATAGCCAAACTGTCACACATCAGGATGTTTAACTTCACCAACAGTCAGGGAAATAGAAGGCAAAAGAACAGCCTACCCAAAAATAAATTTCAAATTCAAGATTTAAAACACGAAAAATGAGATGGGCAAATGATATAAACTAGTCATTTTTAGAAACACCAATCCAAATGGCCTGAAGTCTATGAAAATACATTCCACACAGTGGTGCATACCTGTAATCCCAACACTCAGGAGGCTGAGGCAGGAGGCTTAGGAGTTCAAGACCAGCCTGTATTACATAGCAAGACTTTGTATCAGAAAAAACAAAAGTTCCACCTGTGCACATACCAATTAAAACACAAGTACCTTCTCCCACACACTTTTGCAAGAGCACAAAGGCTGACAATATGTTGTTAAAGATGTGGGGGAAGAAGCACTCTCTTCATTTCTGTTAGAAGTAGAATGAGTGGCTATGCGCCGACAGTGTGACCCTATGCAGTGACTTCGAGACCTGTATTCCCTGGGAAGGTGCAATGTGGAAGAGCACACCACGTGTGACCAGCAGCTTCAGCAGCAGGCCACCTGTGCAGCCATGGACTGCTAGGGACTGAATGTTTCTCCCTAAACACCCATGTGCTAAAGCCCTAATCCGCAGAGGTCAAATTCGGAGATGAGGGCATTGGGTGGGGTGGTTAATCAGGCTTTGATGATGCCGTGAGGGCGGCACCCCATGGATGGACTGGTGGTCCTGAAAGGGGCTGAAAGCACCAGAACTCCTTCTCCCCCATGTGAGTAAAATCAAGGAGAAGACTCCCACCAGACCCAGACTCTGTCAGCAATCCGGTCTTGGGCCTCCCAGCCTCAGGATAAATGTTATTTAAGCCCCCCAGCCTATGGTATTGTGTTGTGTTACAGCAGCCTAGAAAAAGACACACGGGTTCTCCCCAGCCCCCACTTAAAAAGCTCTGCATTTATTTGAATGCTTTTTTTTATGGAATTCAATCATCTAATCAGGGGAAAGACCTACCCCACAATGGCATAAGGGAACAGATCAGTGCTGCTTATATTTGGGGGGATTAGAGCCAGAGAAATTTACAAAGCAAACATTTTGCCAACAGTTCTAGGGACTTTCACAATCATTAAGCCCCCACCCCTGCAAAAATAAAATCATAGTTACAGATCATAAGTTTTTAAAAAACGTGTCATAAAAAATAATGAAGACACCATGCTGGAGTACAGTACTTAACAAGTGGCTCTAGGGGCTGTCGCAGAGTAGACAGCATTGTGCTAAGACTTGAAGAGTGTGCCAGACTGAGAAGAAAGGAAAAGTCATCCCAATTAAAAGACTCATTTGTTTGTTCAACCAATATTTGAGTTCCCATGAGGAGCCTGGCAGTATTCTAGGGGCTGGAGGGCCTACAGACAAGACATATAAGGTCCTTTTTCTCAAGGAAATTCAATTCAGAAATGCAGGGTGAGGAGACACAGATAAACAAATAAATGAACAAGAAATGTTCACTTCATGATTTTTACCACAAAAAAATAAAATAAGTGTATGCTCATGAAATGAAGTAATTTATACTAGGTCACTAAATATGTCCTGAATCACCAAGTATAAATCTTTTTTTGTGCTTTCAGTTCAGGCTGACTATACTTGACTATACTTGTCAGCCTGAACTGAAAGCACAAAAAAAGATTCAATCGTGAAGAGATTCTGGAATGGAATCTGGAGTTTTATCTGAGTATAACAAGAAGCCAAAGAACTGCACATGGGGTAGTACTATGACAGGAGCTTTATAAAGATCACCTGGGTAAAGAATAGGCAAGAAAGAAAAGGAAACAGATCTGCTAGGCTACTGCAATGGTCCAGGCAGAAGATGACACTGGCTTGGCCTAAGGTGGCAGCAGGGACAGTTAGGATAAATGGACAGATTCAGGATACACTGCAGGGGCTGACCCAATGCTCTGGATGTAGGGAATGGCAGGAAGGAAAGAATGATGCACTGGCAGTCTGAACTACCTGGTGATCAGTAACGCCCCTTGGTGAGGCTGGGAAGCCTGTGGAGGAGTAAGCACTAGCAGTGGAGAATCAACATTTCTGTTTGGTCCAAGCACGAGAAGCCTACAACACAATCAAAAAGAGACACCAAGTGAAAAGCAGAAAGGTGGCTGCCAGGGGCTGGGGGACAGAGGGAATGGGTGTCACTGTCTAACGGGCACAGCTGCCATCTTTTACAAGCTGAACAGTTATAAGGATAGATGACAGTTGCACATTGGAAAAACATTTAATATCACTGAATGGTACACTTTAAGGTAAATTTTAGGAGTATTTAATATTAAAAATTTGAAAAGGGTGAGTGGGGGATGTCAAATAAGCAATTAGATACAAGAATTGGGGGCTTTCTGGACAGGTCCAAGCTGAAGTTATACCCTGGAAATCAACAGCATACAGCTGTTAAACAACAGCGCTACGATCACCGCGTCAGGTAAAGAGGAAGCCGCACTCTCACAGGACCACCAGACGAAGAGGAAATGACACACGACCACGGGAAAGCGTCTGGGAGGACACAAAACACCAAGTCACTGAAGCCCAGGAGCTGACTTGATCATGCCACACCCCTTGGTCAACAAAACAAACTCAGAATCCTCTGCCTCTGTGTTTGTCTAAGGCAGGAGGGGAGAGACAATTCCCTTTGCTTACCGTTTATATATTTTATTTACGAACTTGACCCTTGAAGAGTGCAAAGGGGGAGTGGGGCTCTTAACAGCTACATCAGGACAACCGCATCATCACCAAAGTCCCTACCTAGTTCACTCTATAAATCTCAAAAACCTAGGCATCGTAGGGCATGCAATCCCAGCACTCTGGGAGGCTGAGACAACAGGATCACAAGTTCGAACTTAGCCACTCAGCGACTTAGTAAAACCCTGGCACACAACACAGTGCCCCCCACATTAAACGGAAGGCAGCCAGGTCCCCTCATCTCTCCCCGGATTCTGGGTGTGCGTCGGTCGCGTGGGGGCGCCACCTCTGCGGGGACTCTGGCCAGAAAGGACTGAGAAGAGCCACGCCCCCTGCTAGCTTGGACCTGGCTGGGGAAGGACGCGGAGGTGGTAACAGGGAACCACTGCGGCAGAAGAGCCGGTCGCACCAGGTTCGAATCCCGGATCTGCCCTGGCCCCGCAGCGCAAGCGCTTGGGGCACCAGCTCCCCTCCCGACCTCAAGACTCACGGGCGGCGCGCGGCACAGGCCAGGAGGCCCAGCGGAGGAGGACGGACACGGACCGGCGGGCAGCAGCGACCACTGACCTGCTTGAAGGTGCTGCTGAGGAAGTAGACCAGCGACAGCCCGAAGACCAGGGCGAGCACCCACCTCTTCCGCAGAAGCCGGCGCCACAGCAAGGCAGCCAGGTTCACCATCCCGACGCGGACGCGGGGCGTGGCGGCAGGGGCGAGGAACGGGGAAGACCCGGGGACTCGGTGGCATGGCTCCTAACCGACCACCATCCCCATGCCTGGCCGCGGGCAGAGCCTCCGCTGGCCAGCGAGCCCCCGGCAGCCGGCGCACGTCACCCACGTGACCCCGCCCACGCCCCGCCTCCGCCCTGTGCTTCACCGGCCCAACCCATTGAAAGCCCCCTCGCCATTGGTCACTGCGAAGTAGCAGTCTCCTATTGGCTAAATCCAGAGAAAGGAGGCGGGAAATCGTATGCACGTGGGTGGCCTAGCTGTTCTCGGGTCCTAGTGCCCAGCCCTTTAACCCCAGCTCAACCCCGCGAGAGGCCGGAAGCACTTGGAAGTCACGTGCTGCTCGGGTCGCTGCAGTGATTGGCTTAGCTGAACGTGAACAGTGCGGCGGTGATTGCTGAATTTTTTTTATTCACCCCGGCCTGGTCTTTGTAGTCGCCTGACCTTGCAGTGCTAGAGCGTTTGGGGCTGTGGGTTGGTTGTAGGAATGAGAAGCGCGCTGGTGATATTGTATCCCCAGTGCACTTGCCCTCTTCTGTTACCGGGAGTGCAGGAGATGCTACTTTGCAGGCTTCTCGGTGTACACCTTTAATGGCCAGGGGTCACAACTGAAAGCATCGAAAAGTCGCGCTGCGGATCTTCATAGGGAGACAGGAGGATATATATGGCAGAAGGCTGAAAAGCTTCTCATCCAGTTATTCAGATGCATCCTGCGAGCGAAAATGTGTCCTAAGAGTCACTATTGGAATAGTTTTGTACGACCTGCTTCCGACGGGAGATGTGAGGTCCCTTCAAAAGCAAACATCTGAAAGTAGAATCTTGGGCGATCGATGGTGTATCAGACTTGTGGATGGTAACTTTGTAATATTGTATTTTATTTTCCCCCAAAGATTTGGAATTGATGGGTGATATTTTGGGTGGAGGGTTGTTAAAGCAAGATTGCAAGTTTATACAATGAGTTTTCCTTTGTATGTGAAGATGGTGCTGCTAATTCCTTTCTTAGCTACTTTTCCAAAGGGAGAGGTGGCTGGGTTGTTGGATTGCCTCTCCTTAGTAGCCCTAAGAAGGCTGGTCAGAGTTAGGAAGCCACTCAACAGCCAGTTACAGGGCCCGAACTAAAAGTTAGATAACCATCAGCGGTCCTGATAGAAGAAAGTATTCCAGAAGGCTAAAGCTATTCAAGGAGACTGCATGGTCTTTATTTCTAACCTAGTATGAAAGATGGAGCAGGGAATGAGGTATCTAGAAAAAAGCAACTGGGAGACCTGTGGTTTTCTTCATTGAATACTTAAATTCTGTCTGTGCCAGGCAATGTTCTAGATGCTGAGGTAGAGGAGCAAACTAGGTAGATAGGATCTTTGTTTTTGTGGCATTTACTTGAGTGGAGGGACAAATCACAAGTAAATATACATTAAATAATAAGTGTTGTGAAGAAAATAAAACAAGCCAATGTTAGGAAGACCAGGAGAGTGGGGAAAGAATGTATCTGGGAGAAGGGGACATTTGACCTGAGGGAGCTAACTGTGTAACATCCAGGAGGAAAAGCATTCCAGAAAGAGGAAACAGCAAGTACAAAGGTCCTGAGGCAGGGGCTTTACATGTTGGAAGAGAAGTCACACCAGTGAGTCATACAAGGAAAGCAGAAGGAAACAAAGCTAGACAGGTGAGGCTGCCTTTAGGCTGTGGACAGGGCATGGATTTTCTGGTTGCAGTAGAAAGGCATTGAGTCTAAAACATATTTTCCATATTACACAATCAGGACTTCATAATTTGACAATAAGACAAAATATATTAAGATCATAAAACCCTTAAGAGTCTCAAAGAGGGAGACTGCTCCCCTATGGGGCTACCCAGAGATCTTGATCAGATGGAATCCTCTGCTTATAGTTACCAGTGATGTCCCAACATTTGCCAGATTCGTGGACCGTTTACCCAGGTGTTCTGTGCAATCCAGGGCTTGGAAACACTGGCAAGCTCCCTGAACTGGGCATCTCTCTGGTGAGGAAGAAGAGAGCAGGCCTGTTCTCTCTGGGATCCTGTGGTCACCTCATCGGGATCCCTGAGTGCCTACTTCAGGTGTCGTCAGGATGGAGTCCTGAAGTCCATGTGGCTGTTTGCAGTGAACCAGGTGAAGCATCTCCATGAGAATTCATACTCTTAGTTATTTGTTTGTTTATTTATTTTTGGTTTTGGTACTAGAGATTGAAGCCGGGGCCTCCTGCATGATACGCAAACACTCTCCCATTGAGCTACATCCCCAACCCTATCCAGGCTGTCCTTGAACTTAACGTCCTCCTGCCTCAGCCTCCTGAATAGCTGGGATTACAGGTGTGCAGGCCACTGCACCTCACTTGAAGTCACGCCTTTACTACCACTTTATTAAAAGAGAGGGATAGAAGGAAGTTTTGGGTTTGACCCCTCTACCCCCTCCCATGGGACTGTGGGGAGGCTGAAGCAGCACTTGTTGATGGTTACCATGGCAGTGTGACAGGCAGTGTGAGTGTTGGGAGACTTGGCTCACGCATGTGTTGGCTTTCAGGTGTTAAGGAAAATGCAGAGACGCCACAGCAGCAACACGGATACCATTCCACCTGAAAGGTAGGCATCCCTGGGTTCATTCCACCTGAGGGCTCAAGACTTTGGGTGGCGAAAGGCACCCAAAACAGGATTGCATGAAACCTGCTTCTTAGAACTAGGTAGGAGTCAGAAAGGAGGTTGGATTGGAAACCACTGTGCACAGTGTATTAGTCAGCTTTGTGTTCCTACAACAAAATACCCCAAGTGGCTGACTTTATAAACAATTGACCTAGCTTATAATTTTGGAGACTGAGCATCCAGTCAGTATAGTACAGGTACAGCGGCTGCCCCATAGCCTTATCAACTCCTGGAATAGGTGGCAGTGGAGGCTGCAGGTGTGGGAGCCAAGTGCTTATGTCTGGGAACAAGAGCAGAAACAGAGAGGGGCTAGGTTCCCACAATCCCATCTGAGGACACACCCCCAAGGTCCTGAGGACCTCCCACTAGGCTCCACCTCTTAAAGGTCCACGGTACCTCCCAGTACCACCACCCCAGGACCAAGCCTTTACCATGGGCCTTTGGGGGGGGGGGTCACTCAAATTACACCTGAGCCTTAGCACACAACAGCCTTCTCCTGAATACTCAAAACACAGTAGCTTGCCATACTTTTATGGTAATTCTCAAACCCCACGTGATGAGTGATCTACTTGACTTACTGTATCAATAATTATACTCCTGGGGTTTTAATTTATAGGGGTATCTTAGTCTGTTCAGGCTGCTATAAGAAAAATGCAATAGTTTACATGGCTTAAAAAACAAGCATTTATTTCTCACAGTTCTGGAAGCTGGGAAGTCCAAGATCAAGACACTGATCAGTGTCTGGTGAGAGGCAGCTTCCTGGTTGACAGGTGCCCATTCCTTTGCTGTGTCCACATGGTAGAGGAGAAGGGATTGCTCCATGGCCTTTTATTATAAGGGCACAAGTCCCATTTCTGAGGGCCCCACCCTCAAAACCTAATCATCTTCAAAAGCTCTCATCTCCTAATACCATAACACTGACAATTAGGATTTCAACATATGAATCAGATAAAGACACAAATATTCCATTCAAAACACAGAGAGGCCGATGACATTGATTACTTTTCTTGAGAAGAAGGGCACAGCACACAACACAGGGCCATGTTGGGAAGAGCCAGTGTTGTTTACAAGGGAGAGTAGAGGGAGGAGAGAGCATTGGCCATAGTCTTTGCTGGAAAAACCACGTAGGAAAGGAAAATGGAGTAGGATATGCTAGTTTGAACAGTGGCTCTGGAGCATAAAAGTGATCTCTAGGTGTTTAATATCTAGCCCGGGTGATTTAGGAGAGAGGAAATTGTCTTAGATATTTTCCCATTGTTGGGACAAAATACTCAACACCCATAACCTAAAGGAGAAAAGGGTTATTTTTGCTCCATGGTCTGCTGGCTCCAAGGCAGAAACAGCGTGAGGGAAGGGCCTATCAGAGAAAAGCTCACATCATGGCAGTCAGGAAGCAGAGGAGGAAAGGATGAGCTGGGAAGAAAAATAACACAACTCACCATCAAACCCCAGCTCCCAACAGCAAGTCAGCTATAGTTTCCCTTTGTTGCAGTCACCATACAAACACATGAGGCTTTTGGGAGGACTCCCCAGATCTAAACCATAAGTTTCTACCTTTGACCCCCAAAACCCTCAAGTGCATTTTTTTTTTTTTTTTTTTGGTACTGGGGATCGAACTCGGGACCTTGCACTTGGGAGGCAGGCGGCAAAACCACTGAGCTAAATCCCCAGCCCACAAGTGCATCTTTTTATGCAAAATACACTGAGTCCATCTCTGAGAGTTGCCAAAGTTTTAACAGTTCCAGCATTGCTGAAAAGTTCAAAAACAAAGTCTCCTCTGAGATTGAAGGCAAACTCTTAGCAATGAGCCCATGTAAAAATAAAAAAGTAAGTTAAACACAGCTAACATACAATAACACAGGGTAAACATTCGCATTCCAAAAGAGAGAAATAGGAGGAAAGAAAGGAATTGGACCAAAGGAAGACCAAAACATACATAGCAGGACAAACATTAAATCCTATAGCTCCTTATCTAGCACCCAGGGTCAAGTTATGGTGAGATATGAGCTCCAAAGGGTTTGGGTGGCCCTACCCCTAAGGTATTTCTGGTTGCAGCCCTTGTGGCCTCTCTCTTGGAATGGCTTTGCTCGCTGCCTGCAGCTTTCCTCAGCAGACATCCTACATTCCTGGATTCTTCAACTTTCTGGGGTCTCCACTGCACTTTCAGTTTCACTCTCACAGCTTCATATACTGCCCTCTCAGATGCATACTGCCTGGCTTTGCAGGCGTTCTGAAATCTGGGTGGAATCCTCCTTCCTGCATGCCTGTAAAGATAGTACCACATGGATGTTGCCAAAGTCTACTGCCAGCTCGAGCACTAGCCAGAATCATGGCCACTACTTGGATAAGCCCCCTTGGATCATGGCTGCAGAGGCCTCTGAGTACCTGGATGGCCAAGCACTATGAACTGAATCCAGTAGAACCAATTCCCTGGGTGGTCCTTCTCAAGCAGGCTGTCCTCAGGCTCTCTTCTCAAAGCATAGTTTTTCAAAGGCGTTTACCTTTATCTTTTTACACTCGAGCTAGTGAAGAGTAGAGTCTTGCTGATTCCTGAGATTCCCTCAAAGTAGCCTTCCTATTACCTTGGTATAAAGTAATTGTCTTCTTTAAAATGATAGTCTTTTCAGGGCCGGGGGTTTAGCTCAGTGGTTCTGGCGCCTGCCTCGAAAGCGCAAGGTCCCGAGTTCGATCCCCGGTACCAAAAAAAAAAAAAAAAATGATAGTCTTTTCATCAACCAAGCTCTCCAAAGGCTTTCAGGGGGCATAAAACTCAAAACTTTTTAAATCATTCAGCTGTGCTGTTTGCTCTCGATTTTCAATGTAGATCTGGCTAAAAGCATCCAGCAGTACCCATGCCACAGCCTCAATATTCAGCTCCCTTGAAATTTCTTCCACCAGATTAATTAGTCCACCCAATCTCAGTGTCTCACAAAGTCTCAGGACATGGGCAAAACATAGAAAACTTTTCTGCCTAAACATAATATACATGCCCTCTAGCCCAACTGCTAGTGGAGTCCTTGATCCCAACTGAAACCTCCTGATTCTGTTCTTTATCGTCTGAGTTTCTTTCAACATTCTGGTCTTCTGAGCTCTGACTAGAAGCTCCCATGAAGCCTGGCTCACAGCATTCTAGAGCTTCTGTAGCCAGCACTTCCAAACCTTTCAACACTCTTCCTGCATACCGATTCCAAAGTACTCTGAACCACATGATCAGATAGTCACAGCAATAGCCCCGCTTCTTTGGTACTAAAATCTGTCTCAGTCACTTTATTGCTGGGACAAAATACACAATACCCACATCTTAAAGGAGAAGAGGCTTATTTGGGCTCATAGTTTTTAGAATATTAAGTCATAGTTGACTGGCTCCAAGGCAAGAAGAGCATGATGGAAGGGTCCGGCAGAGGAAAGCTGTGTGTGTCATGGTGACCAGAAAGCAGAGAGTAAAGGAAGGAGCTGGGGAGGGAGATACACCTTTCTGGGTCATGCTGTGAGTGACCCACCTCTAACAAGGCACCACTCCTAACAACACATTCAACTATTAAACTCAGTAGTGGATGAATCTACTGATGAGTTTGCTCGTGATCCAATCACCTCCCAAAAACTCTTAGTGCCAGCACATGCATCCAAGGAGCAGGAAGCCAAGCCTTTCCTCCCTCATCCCTCATTCCAGGTTCCCTGCATCCTTGCATCCCTATACCACCAGTCCAGACCTAGCACTGGGACCAAGTTTGGTATCAAGCCTGGCTGTTCTGCAGGGAAGATCATGGGCTATAAGCAAGATGAGCCTTAGTCAAAATCTCAGCCTCCACTACTTCCCACCTACCATGGTTTGGGTTTCTGTCTCCCGAACTTTGTGTTGGAAATGTCATTCCAAAGTCATGTATTGATGGCATTTGGTGCTAGGGTCTTTGGGAAGTAATGAGATTAGATAAAATCTTCATGGTGGGGCCCACCATGATAACACTGTGAGAAGTGGCTTCATAGGAGAGGAAAGGAGACCCGAGCTAGCACTCTTGGTGGGCCTCGCCATGGGATGCCCTCTGCCATGTTATGATGCAACACGAGCCCTTACCAGACGCAGCACCATGCCCTTGGACTTCCCAGCCTGCACAACTGTGAGCCAAATAAACTTCTATTCTTTATAAATTTTCCAGTCTTGGGTATTTTGTTATAGCAATGGAAAACTGACTTAAGACACCACCTTTGGCAAGTGATTCCACCCCTAGGTCTCCATTGCTCCATCCATAGAGGACAGATGATAAAATTCCGAGTTGGTTAAGAATGAAGGAATGGGTGTACAGATGCACAGACACAGCATCTGGCTTGGACAGAGTGTGCCTATGAGAATTTCCCAGCCTCTGAGGTCAGCTTTGCCATCTGCTTTCGTGTGAACCATGAGAGCTTTGGGGGCAGAAACCACAGCACAGGCATAATGACCACCATGCTTGGAGACTTAGTCTGCACTGCCCTCATCTGAGCCTGATGAGGCCAGTGCTATTGTACACATTTTACAGATGAATAAACTGAGATTCAGAGAGAGGAAGTCAGTTACCGAAAGCCACACATCCAGGAAGTAGCAGAGCTGAGATTTAGGCCTCAGTCCATTTGCCCCCTAAGAGCTGCGCTTTGAGACATCAGATTTTGGCTGCCTCATGTCTGGGTGGATCCACTTCTGCTCCTGGGCTGCTTCAGCTCTAGCCCTTTAGTTGCTAAGTTGGAAGCACAGCCTCTGTTTCCCCCATGGAATATTCTTTCCCTTTTAAGCTGAAATCCCGGGTGGATGCAGATAGGAGAGAGACCCAGGGAGAGAGCCCAGCTATAAAAAGCCCTCCGGGGTCCCCAGAGCCCCGTGAATACAGAATGCTGCTTATCTCAGAGGGATGGCGAGCACTTTCCAAGGCCCCCTGGGGCAATGGGGGCCACCCATAAGGGCCAGCATGGACATCTGCCAAGATTCATGCTTTCCAAGCTTAGCATCTCGAAGTACAGAAAAAGCTCAAGGCCCCTTGAGGCTCATAGCCATGGTGTCTGTTGTTTATATTGTCATTATTAGTATCCAGGGCCCAAGGGAGGAGGACCACACATTTCCAGGCTCTTGGTGTTAGCCGGGGTGGGGCCTAGCAGGAGAGAGGGCAGAAGTGGACCTCTTCATGTCACACCAGATTTATGCTCGTGCACCCTTCCAGTTTGTAAAGATGGAGGAACCAACCTGAGACTTCTCAAGGCCACCATGTCCCCTAGTATGTTTCACAGATGTTCCTGTAAGACATCAATAGGTTTCCCATGCATACAAACAATTCTGTGATCAAATCTGTTTGGGAAACATAGGGCTGAAACAAAGTTACTTTTTGCAGTGACAGGTGTTTTGAGTGCCTTTAGCATGACATTCATGTTTCATTCATTCTTTCAGGTAGCATTTCTGTGTGCCAAGTGCTCTATGCTAGCATAGTCGGTGGGGAGACAGTCATAATCTTTAGCCAGGTGTGGTGGTGCACACCTGTAATCTGAAAAGCTGCAGCAGGAAGATTGCAAGTTCGAGCCCAGCTTGGGCAGTTTAGCAATTTAGCGAGAGCTTGTCTCAAAGTAAAAACTAAAAGAGGATTGTAGCTCAGTGTGAGGGTTTGGGATTCAATCCCTAGTACTGAAAAACAAACAAACAAAATCCTTCAATCTCTGCCCACTAAAGATTCTGATTCCGCTGATCTGCCGTGAGGCTTGGGCAGAGGTAGTTTTCAAAAGCTCACCCAAGTGATCAGCCAAGCTTGGGAACTACAAGTCTCAGTGGGAAGATAGGGAATACAGTGGATCCTTGACTTAAAAACTCAATTCATTCACGAAGGCTGGTTGTAACTCAAATCGGTCAATTGAAGGCTCAGGCTCCTCCTTACAGCCTTCAGAGTCTCTCTCCTGTATAGGCAGATCTCAGAGTCCTTAGACTGCTCTTGCCTACACCTCCCTCGCCTTCACGTGCACCTTGTGAGTGACACAGGTGAGCTCCTGTGCAGGCGAGGATGAGGACCTCAAGGTCAGTGGGCCATTGCAAGCATGGGCTTGGGAGTCCTGGTCCCATTGAATTCCTGCCCTGCCCTGCAGTCACTGTGGGTCCTGGACCAGCAGCTTAACCTCCCCATGCTTCAGTTTCCTCATTGGTAAAGTGGGGGTGACGACGGCAGCCACGTTGTGGGACCTCTGTGAGGCTGAAGCAGGACAGCACCCTGGCTCTGCCTCTGGTGTGCTGTCGGTGACAGTGCTGATGATCTGATGGGATGCGTGAGACCACGAGATGTTTGAGCATCAGCAGGAGTTTCCCAGGGGGCCTCTTTCTCTGCTCAAATCCCCTGCACTGGCCTATCTGTGCCCTGGGCCGCAGGTGCTGATCATCTGCATGTGAATGAGCTCTGCAGATCCCTTACCATCTCCCTGTAGTTGGGGACACCCCACCCCAACACCTTCCGGAAATGCTGACCACTGCCTCTGTGCTGGGGACCAGAGCCACGAAGCTGAGTGGGACACAGAACCCACTTCAGAGATGCCCCTGATGCGAGGGGACACAACTGGTGGGAGGGAGGGGTGGGGACAGTCCTGCGGCAGGGCAGGGGCTGGTGGGGGCAGTGCTGAGGAGGAACGCTGGGGGACAGACTGCTCTGGGGGTCCGGAGGCCCTGTTCCTGGCTTCCAAGGTGGGTTCGTCCCCTGTGCCTTGCTACCAGCCAGTGCAGCACCGCCGTTATTTACTGAGGCTCAGCAAGGCAGCCTGCGTGTGGGGTAAACGCAGAGCAGGGGCTGCGTCCGGAGCTTCTTCCTCCGCACCCTGCATCTCCTGTCTGCCATCCTGTGTTGACCTCAGCGGCACACCGCGGCCCTGGACATGAAGGGGAAGCTGTAATGCCAGGAGAGGAAGGTTCAGATGTCACCCTAAGCCCTCCAACCCCAGCCACTTACTGCCGCTGTTCTGGTTTGCCCCAAAGTCCACACCACCTCCTCCTCTGCTCCTCCTCTCTCCCCTTCACCTTCTCATTCCTAAGTGGAACACACAGACTGAGTTCCACTTAGGAATTTGAGGGGAGTCAAAGTTGGGTCCATAATGTATTGGTATTATTTGTCCCCCACCCCCGATGGGCTGCCTTCTGTTTGTCTGACTTCCAGTGGGGGAGAGGGGTCTCTTCCTTATATGTTTGTTTGTTTTCTGTTGCTAAGAGCACAACCTCAGAGACAGTGAGTTATAAAGAACTGAGGTTTGGGCCAGGGATGTAGCTCAGCAGCACAGCACCTGCCTGGCAAGCATGAGGTCCTGAGTTCGATCCCCAGTACCCAAAAAATAAAGATCAGAGGTTTATTTGTCTCAGACTTCTGGAGGCTCAAGAGTTGTGTCTGCTGGTGGCCTGCTGGCTCCAAGAGCCTCATCGCAGGGTAGAGCATCACATGGCGGAGATAGGGAGGACATAGGAGGTAACCAGAATATGCAGCATGTGTTTAAATTTTAAAATTAGAGTAAAAGACTCATTGCCATTAATTCCCCTCCACATACGCCCCTTGACTTTGAACACACTTATCCCGTTGTTCTTGCCCCTCTCTCTCTCTCCCTCTCTCTCTCTTTCTTTTTTGGTACCTGGGGTCAAACTGAGGACCTTGCATTTTCAAGGCAGGTGGCAGCGCCTCTGAGCTAAATCCCTGGCCTGTTCTTCCCACTTTCTGAAGCAGGTCTGGAAGTCCTCTTCCATGAGTCTCTTCAGTTGTGCTTTCCTGGCTGCCTCAGTGTCCTGCATGTATCCAAAACACATACCTTTCATGGTCATTTTGACTTTCAGGAAGAGCCAGAAGTCACACAGTGCCACATCTGTGGGTAAGGTGGATGAGGACACACCATTGTGTTTTTACAAGCCTGCCTGTCCATTCGATGGCGCTGTGTCACGACATTCAAGCCTTGTAAAGATACTCATGAAAGAGGGGGATTAATGGCAATGTGTCTTTTACTATAATAAAACTTTTTAAAATTTAAACATTCACTGGCCGGGGATTTAGCTCAGGGGTTTCACTGCCTGCTGCGCAAGCGCAAGGACCCAAGTTCAGTCCCCGGTACCAAAAAAAAAAAAAAATTGTGAACATTCACTGTATATTTTGACCACCTCTTGAGTGTGTGGCACATGTGGTCTCTGTCCTTATAAAGCTACCAGGATTCAGTTGTGGGGCTCCATCCTAATGACCTGTCTAGTCCTAATCACCCCCTAAAGCTCCCCACACACATGCACCAGAGCAAGATGAAGTTGCCTCCCTCTTGACACATCACTTCTAGCATGAGCCAGTGTGATGCCGCACACCTGTATCCCAGCCCTCTGGGAGGCTGAGGCAGGAGGATCTCAGGTTCAAGCCCAACCAGGGCAACTTAGCAACTTAGTGACATCCTTTGTCAAAATCTAAAAAGTGCTACTGGGGATGTAGCTCAGTGCAAAGGCCCAGGGTTCCACCCCCAGTACCACCACAAAAATAATTATATATATAACTGGGGACAGGCAGATTCAAACTGTTGCACCTTGTCATGCAGAAACCGCAGCCAGACGCTCAGCCCCGAAGCCAGCGTGGATGAAGGCGGTGTCTTCGAGAGCCTGAAGGCCGAGCCGGCCTCCTCACCTGCACTCTTCTCTGGCCTGGCCAGCAGCCTGCCCACCAGCCCCTTCCCAGCCAGCCTGGTGCTGGGGTCCTCAGTGAGCGGCGGGGACGTGTTCATCCAGATGCCCGCATCCAGGGAGGAGGGAGGTGGCCGCACCGGCGAGGGCAGCACCTACCACCACCGCCAGCCCCACCACCACTTCCACCACGGCGGCCACCGAGGGGGCTCCCTGCTGCAGCACGTGGGTGGGGACCATCGCGGACACTCGGAGGAAGGGGGTGATGAGCAGCCAGGGACGTCTGCCCCTGCCCTGTCGGAGCTGAAGGCTGTCATCTGCTGGCTCCAGAAGGGGCTGCCCTTCCTCCTGATCCTGCTAGCCAAAGTGTGCTTCCAGCACAAGCTCGGTGAGTCCCCAAGGTCATGGGTGTCACCACCTCGGCCTCCCCACCCAGATCCCCTGGAGTGCTTGGGGTGAGGTTGTGCATCTAGCGTGCAAGGAGAAGGCGGCAGAGGCTGGCATGGGGCAGAGGGCTTACAGGCGTGGGACACTAGGTTGGACCTGCGTTCGGATTCAGGTCAACTGTCTGTGTGACTTTGGGCGATTCAGCGGGCTTCTCTGACCCTCAGTTTCCTCATCTGTCCAGTGGGGGTTGCGATTGAAACATAATTAGCTGCCCGAGTCGGGGGAAGAAGCAGAGCATCATAACCAAGAGCTCAGACTACCAGGGTCTGCACCCCGTTCTGCCCTTCCCAACTGTGTGATGTGGAAACATTGTTTACCCTCTCTGTGTCTCAGCCCCTCTTCTGTCAAGTAGAGACTAAGAGACAATGCACATGCAGCCCTCTGTATCTCCAGTTTCTGCATCCAGATGTTCAGCCAACCTCAGGTCAAAAATATTCAGGAAAAAATTGCATTTATACTAAACAGGTACAAACTATTTTTGGAGGGGCGTGTCATTATTCCCTAAACAATACAGTATAGCAACAACTTACACAGCAGTTACATTGTATTAGGTATTGTTAGTCACTTAGAGTTTTATTAAAGTATGTGAGCAGATGTGCAGAAGTTCTATGCAAATTCGCCATTTGTATAAGGGACTGGAACATCTGTATGAGAGTCCCCTTGGGGGCCTCAGGAGCAGTGCCCCGCAGTGCCAAGGGACAGGTGTCCTCATGGGATGGCGGTGAGGTTAAAGTTGAGTTAATGTCGAGTATTCAGAGAGCGCCTGCTTCATTCAGAGTGAGTACTATGCATGTGTAGACTTCTGTTTGTGTTATATTCATCATTAACACACATTAAAGTACATAATAATAGAGCTTGGCACACAGCAACCGCTCAGTGAATACTAGTTACTGTGGTTATATTAGGAAGCAGGATAGCAATTCAGAAAGTGCTTAACCTAGTACCTGACACATACTCAACATTCAGTAGACAGTCCCTAGCATACCGTGCTTGTTATTTTTACCACTGTTATTAGATTATGATGTTGCTTTGCCCTGAGGTGTTTGTCGATTATTTAGTCCCACTATGGCAATGACTGGAATTACCTGGAGGAACTTAGGGTTTTGTATTTTGGTTTTTGGTTTTTGGTTTTTAGTTTTTGGTACTGAGAATGGATCCCAGGGCTTTTGTACTTTCTTTGTTTTTATTTTGAGACAGAGTCTAAGTCACCAAATTGCCCACGGTGGACTCAAAATTGTGATCCTCCTGCCTCAGCTTGCCAAAGTCTTGGAATTCCAAGTGTGTGTCACCACACCCAGCTCCATCTTTTGTTTCTTATCTTCCCCCTTTGGTGAATTCCAGCCAACTTGGGTCACTCTGCCTTCCTCACCGAGGTATCAGCCTATGAGCACCCCTTTCTGTCCGTACAAGCAGAAGCAGAAGCTGGCTTGTCCCCTAATGCTACCTGAATTGTGGGAAACTCAAGGCTGTTTTATTCTTGAGTATGGCCACTGTCATTTTCAGTGATTGGGGTTGTATTTTTTTTTTTTAATCAAAGAAGAAAGTAGAACAAATGGATTATGGTGTTGCTAGTTCTTATTTTATGTTTCCAGTGAAGAAATACACTTTTGCAAAGTAGGTCTGGAATACACATCCTGTTACAGTAAGTAGGCAGACTCCAAGTACATCTTGGGAAAGCTGAATTCAATCTGCAAGCAGTAAAACGTAGGATTTGCAAATCATTATGCATGGAGAATTCAAGATTGTGGCTCAGCAAACAGTGGCAATTAAGAGTTGTGGAATCGAATTCACTTCTGTTCTCTCATCTGCCTGGGTCATGTCTGTCTTTTAGCTAGGATTTTTTACCCCTTAGCATTAATCTTTAGTTATGATGTCATGGTCTTTTTGTATGTATGCTTCTGTTACAAATAAGACACCTCAGCTTATTTTTGAAGGCAGAAAGACTGATAGCACCATTTATTAATTGCTAGCGATTATGTTCCCTAAGCATCATCCCTCTGTGAAGTAGGAACTGTTACTATTCTGTCCATTTTACAGATGAGGGGACTGGGGCTCAGAGAGGGGTGGTAACTTGTCTTGGCTCACACAGCAGAGGTGGCAGACCCAGGGGATTTAAACCCTGGTCTTGCCAGGCTACATAACCCATGCTCCCGACCCAGTACTATAAAAAAATACCCCACAGTGGTCTAAATTCTATCCCAGAGTCAGATTGATTCCCAGTGATTTACCCAGCAGCCCAGATCCCTTGAGAGTGAAATTTTGTTCCTTTCTCTAGTCAGCCCACCCACTCCAGGGGGACCTGGGATATGGCTCTGCCAGCACTCCTCATGGCCCTTGAGGCCAGGGGTCTGAGCGGGTGGTGTGGCCCCTCCTCTGCCCCTCAGGCATCGCCGTGTGCATCGGGATGGCCAGCACCTTCGCCTACGCCAACTCCACGCTCCGAGAGCAGGTCTCGCTGAAGGTGAGTCGCCTGGCGAATCAGTCTCCTGGGGGTTTCCATCACAGGCGACCACAAACTTGAGTGCTGTGGCTTCAGCAGCAGATGAGAGGTCTGCAGCAGTCTGTCCGGGCTGAGACCCAGGTGCCCACGGGACTGTGTGAGGCAGGAATCTTCTGCTTGCTCCGCCTCAGCCCGTTTGCTGCCTGGGCCCCTCTCTCCTGTCTCCCACCACCACTTCGAAGGTCCCTTGTGATTGTTGTGGCCCACCGGAGTGTCCCCCTCTCAGCTCAGCTGGCCGACAACCTGCAGTGAGTCCCCTCCGCCCTGTCATCCAGCATAGGCACCGGGTCAGGGACTGGGACGCGGGCTCCCTGGAAGGTTGATCTTCTGCCACCCTTCTCCCCTGCCCTCCGCACAGACTGACCCTTCCCTCGCGACAGCAGCAGCACCCCACTTGTCCTCCCACCCGACCCCAGCCGCCTTCCCTCCTGCATTCAGCCCGTTAGTTCACGTCCAAGCCATGCTGCTAGCCGAGGCCATTTCACTCATGCCACTGGGTGGACGTGGGGCTCCGCCTCTGTCCTCCCGCATGCCCTCTGATGTTAGCTGAGCACTGTGTGCCTGGCACACTGCTGTGCCCCCTGCCCATCTCTTGCAAAGAGAGAAAAGCTTCTCATCTCATTTTTTCAATGAGGGACCTGGCTCAGAGACACTGAGTTCCTTGCCTGAAGTCACACAGCCACAGGGCAAGTGGCCATCAGGCTTTACACCCAGGCAGTTGAGCCAGGAGTCTGTGTTCCTCCACCCACCTGCAGGTCCTCAGACAGAATATTCCAGCCTTGGGCTCCGCCTGTAGGAAAGGGGTCAGACAGTCCCTGACATAAATTTTGACTTATGGCTTTGGGACTTAATGATCATGAGAAAGCAATGTCCATTCTTTAGAAACTTACTTCACATTTTGAATTTTGGTTTTATTCTGTCCTGATCCTCTTACGATGCTGGGCAGCGAGAGTGAGCAGCACCTGCCATTCTCAAGGGGAAATAACTGAGGTTCTGTGTGACAGGGTGCATCTATTAGGAAGTTAGGCACAGTAAGCGCATTTTCAGCATTTCCAACCTAAGGGTATTTTTGACTTATGACAGGTTTAGGGGGGCATACCCCATTTTAAGTTGGCGGGGGCAGCTACGTTCACACCAACCTGTAGGCTCCTGGCGAGGGTTACCTGAGATACCGAGTAGAAGGTGTTTAGCACAGTGCCTGGTGTATAGGGAACATTTAATTGAGCTGCTTTGTAAAACCTGCGCTTCCATCTATACCCCATCTCCTCAGCCCCTTCTGCAGCAGCATCTTTTTCCTAAGCATGGAAGGGAGCCCTGTCTGCATTTGCACACAGCCCTACCCTCAGCAAACTTGGGAATCTCACCTTATCCCCACTTTTCTCCAAGTTCTCCTTCTCAGGCCCTTGCTAACCCGTTCTGTGTACTCTACCTCTGGTTTGGATTGACAGAGAATTAAACTGGGATCTGTGATGTATTGGGAGAGAAAGGGCTGCCGAGTGGCTTAATCACACTGGTAAGAGCCGCCTGGCTGGAGGTGGTTTCTACAGTCGTCAACCTTGACCGCCTGTGGAGTAGAGTGGTCAGAGATGCACTTGTGTCGTTCACTCTCTGGAAACACACACTGCAGCAGCACAGGGCGCAGGCGGTGTCTAGAGACAGTGTGTATTGAGCATTTACCGAAACCGCAGGGAAGGTTACACTGGGAAAGTTATGACCTCATCCTGTTCCAGCAAGGCAGCTGCCCCAGTCCAGGAAAATACAAGCTTTTGAGCATCAACAGCAGAGGGGCCTGCGAATGTCTCTCAGGGTACAGGGCAGGAAGGCGTCCTTGTCTGCTCTTTCTTGGGATTGCTGTCAGGCCCAGAAACTTCTGGGAAGCAGCATGGCAAGGCTTCCAGTTTCTCTTCTTGAATCCCAGAGATTCAGCAGGAACAAGGCTGGAGAGAGAGAAACAGGGCTGGACTGTGACAGGCTTGGATATATGTACATGTCTGAATTTAATCTGATCAACGTGTCCAGACCTTGACCTTGAAGTCCAAGGCAATAGACCAGAGGTCCATCAAGAACAAGTGAGAGCGGAAGTTTCCAGCTCTGCATCTGAATACTGCCAGGTTATCAGATCTTCATAAGAGTTTTACCTGTTAGAGTAAAACAGAATCCAAGCAGCATGAAGGTTTACATGCGTAAATTTGACTTAACCCTCAACAGCATCCCCATCTTAAGTGAGGGCATCAAAGCTTAAAACCTGTGGCCTGGAGCAAACATTACTGAGCCTCTCCGTACCCAGCTCCTAACATTAAGCGCAAATTTAATACTTATTACTACATCAGATGCTCTTCTGTGCATTATACAAAGTGTGATCAAAGACTGCACACCCACCATTGTGCCTGCCACAATGCCCAGAATTGATTGCAAATATTTACCTTTCGTGGTCATTTTGACTTTGCGGAAGAGCCGGAAGTTGTCCAGTGTCGAATCCAGATGAGAACACACAGTAATATTTTTACGAGCCTGCCTTTTCGTTGGATGGCACTGAGCAGCAGCGTTCATCATATTTTTTTTTAATAACATCTCATAAAGACACTCATGAAAGAAGACTTCCAGAACTGCTTCAGAAAGTGGTAAGAATGAAGGGATGAAGCAAGAGGGAGTGTTTAGAAGGAGACTAATGGCAATGTGTCTTTTACTACAATAATTTTAAAAAATTTAAACACTATATATATATATATTTTTTTTAAGAGTAGGAAAACTTTATTGAGAGAAAGAAAGCTTCTAAGAGAGACAGAAGGGAGACCAGAAAGTGGGTTGCCACAAACACTGTATTTCTTGATTAGCCTTTGCGTGTACATTTATTCTCACGATTCTTTAAGGTAGGTACTAGTACAGACCCATTTTACAGATAGAAAAGGAAATACAAAGAGCTCAAGTAGCTTTCTGGAAGTTAGACACCTCCCAGGTAGCCAACTGAGGACTTGAACCCAGGCCATCTAGCTCCAGAGTCTGTGCCATGAACCATGTGCCCTCTGCCCTTTCTGGATGGTTCTCCAAGCAGGTGCCTGTCATTCTGTCAGCTTTTCTGTGACCACTCCTTGGGTCCCGGTGGGATGGAAAGATACCAGTGCCCTTCTCTTCACCGTCAGCGCTTCTTCCTCCAAAACTTTGAAACAGTGAAGTTTCTACTCATTAAGGAACATTCTGGAATGTTCCACCACGTGCACCTGTGGCACTGCAGCATCCTCACAGGTCTGTCGCTTCGTCTGCAGGAGAAGAGGTCGGTGCTGGTCATCTTGTGGATCTTGGCCTTTCTGGCAGGGAACACCCTGTACGTGCTGTACACGTTCAGTTCCCAGCAGCTGTACAACAGGTGAGCAAGGGAGTCTGCTCCTTGGGGGAGGCGGGGGCTGTGTTGGGTTTGGAGCACACAGGCCTGTGCTGGAAGACAATACACCAACTCGATGTCATGTCGTAACTTTTAGGTTCCACCCAGTTATTACACACTCATGCCTAGGACCTTGCTCTCTGGCAGAAATACAATGCAAGCCACATAGGTATTTTTACATTTTCTAATTGCCACATTAAAAAATAAAAAGAAACAGGTGGAATTAATTCTAATAATAGATGTTATTTATCTCAATATAGTCGGTCCTCTGTATCTGTGGATTCGGTATCCATGGATTCCACCAACCTCAGGTGGAAAATACTCAGAAAAAAAATAGCATGTATACTGAACATGTACAGATTTTTCTTCTGTCTTATCCCCGAAACAGTACAGTGTAACAACTATTTACATAGCATTTATATTGCATTATAGACATTAGCGTTAGACAGTAGAGACAACTTTAAGTATACAAGATGATGCACATAGATTATATGCAAATACTGTGTCATTTTATATGAGACTGGAGCATCCTTGCATTTTGGTATCCGTGGAAGATCCGGGAACCCATCTCACTAGGATACAGAAGATGACCATGTACCTAAAATGTACAACATGTTGACAGATGGAGAAGCAGAGCCAAAGAAATTGAACGGCTTACTCAGCCCTGATATATCATCCACTCCTTTAAAATATCCCTGTAAGGCTGGGGATTTAACTCAGTGTTTCCACCACCTACCTCACAAGTGCAAGGTCCCAAGTTTGATCTCCAGTACCAAAAAATAAAATAAAATTTTAAAATAATAAATAAAATATCCCTGTCACCTTGGCTGCCAATACCTGGATATTCTTTTGAAGCAGTTAAGTCTTGTTCCCAGATCTGCCAACATACACTCAGCAGGTGCACCCTCACTGACAGCTGGGAGCAGTAGTACATACCTGTGATTCCAGCACTCTGGGAGGCTGAGGCAGGAGAGTCTCAAGTTCAAATCTAGCACAGGCAACTTAGCAACTTAGCGAGACCATGTCTCAAAATTTAAAATACAATAAAATAAAAATAAATAGGGGGCCAGGGATTTAGCTCAGTGGTTTTGCCGCCTGCTGTGCAAGCACAAGGACTCGAGTTCAATGTCCAGTACCAAGTAAATAAATAAGCCTAGGGAAGAGCTCCATGTGATGAAGGCCCTGCATTCAATCCCCAGTGCTGGGAAAACAAACCAAAACAGCACTCCTATTGACATGTTGAATAGTCCACTTTTCCTAAGTTCTTTCCAAGCTGCTGCAGAGCTTCCTGTTTATCTCTTAGTGAGTTGGTTTCCCAGATCCCCAGTACAATGCTTAGTCCTAGCAATTGTCTGATATTTGTCAGATGAAGAAATTGCTCAGAATTTTTAAAGTATCTTTCTGTGTTCAAAAGTAATTTATTTTTAATGGTGAAAAGTTAGAAAACACATTTCAAAAGGGGACCCAGATCACCTCCGATCCTGTCCCCATCAGCAGCCATGTGAACATATTTCTCTGCATATGCGTGTGTATTTGCTGTGGACGGTAAAGTGCAGTGGAGGCTATTTTATAGCTCTTTCTCTTCACTTACCGCCGTTATTACTTTAAATCAACAAGTTGCATTTACTGACGCTTCCTATGCCAGTACCTAGGACTCTACGACTGAGGATCCCTTAACCAAAAAGCTCGAGAGCAGAAGTGTTTCCAATTTTGCAATTTTAAATTTCAAAATATTTGTGTAGACCTTCCCAGGTAAGCATCCCTAATCTGGAAATCGAAAATGCTCCAAAATCACATTGCTCAAAAAGTTTCAGATTTTGAAGCATTTTGGACTTTGGATTTGGGGATGAGGGGTACTCAACCTGTAATAAGAAAAACATACCAACGTGAGTCCTTTGGGACGTCTGTTACACCAGGTGTTGCTCCATCGAAGAGTCACTGAAGCCTAGGAAAAGCTGAACACCCAGGTCTAAGACGGGGCAGGGACCAGGGAAGTTCTTAGGATTTCACAAAGCTGCAAAGTACAGTGAACCCTCAAGTTATGGCCACCCTGACATACAAAAAGCTTGGGTTATGACCAGAATTTTAGTTTTAACTTACGAACAAAGTCTTGAGTTATGACCCGAATGCCGACCACTTGTGCTTCCAGATGGTCTCAGATACAGATTTAACCCTTACAGAGTTCTGGAAGGAACATGACAACATCCTTTCCTGTGTGGGGCTAACTGAGAAATCCTGGGCCAGTGTCTCTCTAAGGACACTGAGATGTGCCTGTGTACAGGAGAGAGTCTGAAGGCTGTGTAGAGGAGCCTGAGCCTTCAGTTGACCAACGTGAGTTACAACCAGCCCTTGTGAATGAATTGAGTTTGTAAGTCAAGGGTCCACTGTATTCCTCAAACAAGATTCAGGGCTCCACTGTGTAGGCACTAGCTTGCTTTTTGCATTAAACATATTTTTAAATGATTGTCACATGATAGCCAGGAGGTGGAAGCAGCCCAAGCATCCATTGAGGGATGAATGAACTTGTGCTATGACCATACAATGGAACATCACTCAGTCTTACAAAGGAAGGAAATTTGAACACAGGGTATTACATGGATGAGCATTGAGGACATTTTATAAATTGAAATAAGTGAGACACAAAAAGACAGGTACACCGTGATTCTCCCTATCGGAGGAACTTAGAACAGTTATATTTCGAGAGACAGAAAGTAGAATGGTGGTCAGCAGGAACTAGGGGAGGGTGCTGAGGCACTGTTGTTTAGAAGGTGTGGAATTTCAACTTTGCAAGATGATCGGAGTTCTGAAGTTGGACGGTGGTGACAGTTGTACAATAGTGTGAATTACTTAATGCTACTGAACTGTACGTACAAAAATGGTTACGAGGGTAAATTTTATGTTCTGTGTGTTTTACCACAATTAGAAAAAAATGATCAGCATCATTTTATAAAAGAATTCCACCAAAGAATTCATTAAGAATAAAGAATAATCCTGTAAATATAGGAATAAATTTTGCTTCATTTTAGAAAAAGTGTCTTAAATCACTGAAAAGAGAATGTTACCAGACTGCTATTGCTGCATGTAGGAACCATCTGGGGCTTTGGAAGCTGAGAGATTTTCCTGTGGGTGCTGGAGGAGGGTTGGCCAGAAAGGGCCTTCAATGGGGCAGAAACTCGGGCTGTTTTGCAAACAGACTTTGAGGAGTCAGTAGGAGACTTTGAGGAGTCTGAGGTCACCCCGAAAAGCCGTTTTAGGAGTCGGTTCCCAGGCATTAGCACATGGTCCACAGGTCAGGGTCTGGGGCAGGGGGAAAGTGGGGTTTCCCAGAAGCTTGGATGAATATCCTGCCCATGCCATTTTGTGGGCATGATCATATTCCCAGGCTCAGACCTCTGTGCCCCCATCAAGCCAGAGCTGAATCAAACTGACAGCACAGGAGAGAGACAGAAAAGAGGCTTAAGAGAAGAGCAGCAGAGAGAGTTCAGTCCATGTCTTTTTGATGCCACCAGCCTACAGTGTATTTGCAAGTGACACCAACAGCCAACATCTTACTTTGCCCTCCCAGTGACCCAGCAGGGTAGCACTATCCCCATGTCACAGATGAGGAAACTGAGACTTCATGAAGTCCTTCTGGGTTAATTGGTTTTTCTGTTACTATAGCAAAATACCCAAGGCTGGGTGGTTAATGAGGAAGTTCGTTTGTTTAGCTCACAGGTCTGGAGGTTCAAGGGCATGGCACACATTGGCTTGGCTCTGGTGAGGATGTTATGGCGGGCTATATGGTGACATTCTACATGTGCAGAACGGAAGAGATCACTTGATGAGACAGGAAGGCCCCACCCACTAGGAAGCCCCTCCCATGGGATGGCTCCTCCCAGCGGGCTCCACCTCTTAAAGGCCCCACCACCATCCCTTACCCGGACACACTGGGGACCAAGCCTCCAATACACCAGTGCTTGCCAATTACATCCAAACTGGCTGAAGGCAGCTCTTAACCATGAGTGACCTTGAATTGTCCCAGGATTTGAGGTCTGATGACCAACTTCAGCCCACTCTCCAGCTTCATGCCCTTTGGCAAGTAGTGTTTCCTCTGAGCCTTCCCTTGTTTTTCACATCTGTGAAACCCAGCCCAGGTTCATTCTCACCTGACCCACCTGAATGGGCCAACGAGGAAAACCAAATGTCAGGTTACACAGAAAAGAGCTGGGTCATATCATATCATATGATCATTGCTGTTACTATTTTAGGATTACAGTAATTCTTGGTAGTGGTGACTAAGAAGGAACAAAACTGACAGTAAAACGTATCAGTCCATTAAGGTGCACAGAGTACTTTAGAAATAAGTGGACTTAATGTTCGACCTGTAGGAAAATACTGGGACGCCAGCACATCCTTCTCCCCTCCCTACCTACACTATCACTAAGAATGAAAACAAGCTGAGCATGGTGGTGCATGCCTATAATTCAGCAAGCTGAGGCAGGAGGATTGCAGGTTCAAACCCAGCCTGGGCAACATTCTGTCTCAAAATGAAAAATTAAAAAAGAACTGGGGAAATAGTTCAATGTAAAGGCCCTGGGTTCAAACCCTATTACTGGGCAGGGGGGAAAGGGTATAGACACCAAGATAATGGGGGAAAAACCCAGATAGGTGAATTGAGCACCAGTTGGTGTCTGGAGATAAAAATGGGAAAATGTAAAGCATTTTCATTTTATTGCAATCATAGAAGCATAAAAGATTTGGCAGAGTGTGGAAGTCAACCAGCCACAGGGAACATCCCCAGGAGGGGCAAGAGCAGAACCACGGGGAGGGAGCTCAGGGCCACAGACCTCTCTCCCTGTGTTAGAGCTTGATTGGCCATGGAGTTCCATGGAGTCCCACGGAGTCATGGCTGAGCTGTGGGGAAGCCACAGAAGGTGTTGGGAGCAATTACCAGAATGGATTATTCTCACTGATTTTGCCCTACTGTAGCTGTTCGAAAAGAACAGTACAGGGGCCGGGGATTTAGCTCAGTGGTTTCACCGCCTGCTGTGCAAGTGCAAGGACCTGAGTTCAATCCCCGGTACCAAAAAAGAACAGTACAAATAACCCAGGCATGGTGGCACACTCCTGTGATCCCAACACTCCAGGAGGCTGAGGCAGGAGGAGGCAGGAGCCCTACCTGGGCAACTTAGCAAGACTGCATCTCAAAATAAAAACTAAACAGGGCCAGGGATTTAGCTCAGTGGTTCCACCGCCTGCCTCACAAGCACAAGGACCCAAGTTCGATCCCTGGTACCAGAAAAAAAAAACAAAAAACTAAACAAAGGGCCAGAGATGTAGCTCAGTGCAAAGACCCTGGTTCAATTCTCCATAACAGGAAAAAAAGGCATGTATGTAAATCAGACTAGTGCATTCCAAAGAAGTGTGAATAAAGAGGCCTTGTTGCACACCCTTTCCCTTCTGTCCGAAGCATCTGGAAAGCATCCTGTCAATGCCATGTGCACTGTTCCCTGCTGTGGAGGAGACACATACATAGACTCTACCTGGCCTTTGCTCAGGGCCTCTGATCCTGGGGGAAAAAGGAGAGAAACCAGCATAGCTCGGGTGCTGGCTCCAATTCTAGCCCCGAATTCTAGCTGAGACATCACACACAGGTGACTCCTCATCTTATCACCCCAGTCTTCTGGTCAGAAAGAGATAATCCTGTTGCCACTTCATAGAGTCCTTGGGAAGAGGAAATGAGTTAAGACACGCAGAATCTATGCAGCCAGGACACCTAGATCTCAGCTGCTTCTGCCCCTTAAAGTCTGGAGAACCTGTGCATGTTACTTTACCTTTTGTTGCCTCAGTTTCCTCACCTGCAGAATGGGTGCCTGCCTCATGGAGGTGCCGTTGTCAAAGTCACCACTGCAAGTCAGGGTCTGTAGCACATCTAGGATCTCTCCCTGATGATAACACTGCAGGGGAGGGAATGAGTCCCATTTTATTGAAGAGTATGCAGAGGCTTACAGATAAAACTTTATCTACCCAAGATCCAACAAATGGAGAACCCGGGATTCACATTCAAGGCCATCTAATTCAAGTCAAGTCTGCTGATACTGATGCCCTCTGGAGGCCCTCATTTATCAAGTGAAGACAAGGCACAAGGGCCATATGAGATCCTAAAGATCTGAGCAATCAGTTTCCCTCCCTCCTTTGTTGTGTTGGCTGCCTTCCCTCTGCCCTCCTGCCTTCCCTTCACTTTCTTCTTTCTTTTTTTTTTTTTTTTTTGGTACTGGAGATCGAACTCGGGTCCTTGCACTTGCAAGGCAGGTGGTGGAACCACTGAGCTAAATCACCGGCCCTCACCTTTTGTTAAGAGTGTTGTGGGCCTGTAAACTGGGGGGACTTTCACAATGCCTCAGGCCAGACTTCTTTTAACTTTGAAGGGAACTGAGGCTCAGAGAGGTTATGCAGCAGGTCCATAGGAATAAGACAGATTCAGGAATAAGACACAGATTCAGGAATAAGACACAGGTCTGACTCCAAGGTCAGTGTTCTTCCTACGTGATCCTCACAAGGCTCACCTGTGAGTAGCAAGAGCACCTGAGGCCTGTCCCTTAGTGACATCCCGGCTCTCTGAATACTCCCCCAGCCTCATCTTCCTGAAGCCCAACCTGGAAACGCTGGACCTCTTTGATCTGCTGTGGATCGTGGGCATCACAGACTTTGTGCTGAAGTACATCACCATTGCCCTCAAGTGCCTCATCGTGGCCCTGCCCAAGATCATCCTGGCCGTCAAGTCCAAGGTAGGCTGCAGTCCCTGCGTACCTTAATAGGTTTTAACTCTCTGTGGCTTCCAGGAACTCATTTTGTAAAGGGGGCTGAGGCTCAGGAGGAAAGTGCTCTGAGATTGATTGGTGATGTCTGCCAGGGACACAGGACAGGGAAGTGGTGGCAGCAGTTTTCTGCATGTGCCCTAGGGGAGACCTGCAGGCAGGCTTTAGGGTGGAGAGGAACTCAGAACTAAATGGACAGAAAATCCCAGCCATAGGGTATGATTGCCAGTGCCTCTGTAAGATGACATAATGGGAACCTGGCCCATGGTGGATGGACCAATGGATCTCTGAAAACTCTTGCTTTTCATTTTGTAAAAACATCTGTCCTTTGGGTTCAGAAAGCTCAGAATGTAGCCGGCCTTGCCTGACAGAGAGCAGGTTAGAATTAACCATCCGTCTTGAGTGGCAGCTGACCCATCCAAGTAGCCAGAGTAGTCTTTGTGCTGGCTTCTCCCTTCCCCAGCATCCATTGATCTGGTGAGCCTGAATCCTAAGGTTTTCTTAGATGAAGCCGTAGCTCTGGTCCCCAAAGGTGGTATGAAGTTTTAAAATAATTTAAAGACAGAGAGAGAGAGAGACATGGAAAAGAAAGTCAGGAGAGGGACCAGGGGCCTAGAGAAGTCCTAAGGTACCTTATACCTTTCTAGGGTAGAGCAGCATCACTTTCTGAGCTCAGACCATTACCAGTAGACACCATGTATTGGGCCCCGAGAAGCATGGCCCAGTGGTTAAGTGCACAGACTTGGGCATCACACACAGCAAGGATCAGAACCCAGCTATCCTCATCTCTAGCTGTGACTTTGGGCAGATGACAAGGCCTCTCTGAGCCCCCACTGGCTCCTCTGCCAACTGATGATAGTAATTGTGCCTTCTTCCAAAGCACTAACCTCATGAGAGCTATTGCTTGTGGACAATACAAAGTGCTTTCCCCAAGCCCAGTGCATAGTGATTTGTTCAGAGAATAATGCACAATACACATTGAGTGTTCCCTATCCAAAATGCTTGGACCAGTTTTTCAGATTTTGGAATATTTGCCTATACAATGTTTTTAGTACTCCTGTGTTTTGACTCTGATTGTCACAAGACATCAAGTATGGAATTTTTCCCTTTTGTTATCATGTTGGAGCTCACAAAATTTTGGAATTTTTTTATTTTTTTATTTTTTTTTTGGATTAGGGATGCTTGGCCTGCCCTTATGTTATTTAATCTTCATGACTTCTGGCTTTATGGTGACTAGCCGTGCAAGTTTATGTGAGTTACCTTGCCTCTCCACGCCTCAGTTGCCAGGACTGTAAAATGGGACTAGTAACCTTACAACTGTATATCTTCCACTTGTCTGTCCAGATACACTGAGCATCCTTCTCATCCTGCCATCTGACCTGTGTGAGTTTGGTCAGTGGCCTTCCACGCCCAGTGGCTTCCAGTTGGGTTCAGGCAATGGCGAGCCCAGGAAGAGAGAGAAGCAGAAGTATTATTATTCCCTTGGCATGTTTGTCTCCTGTGGCTACTGTGGCAAATGCTACAGACTTAATGGTTCAAAGCAACATGAGTTGATTTTCTTACAGTTCTGGAGGTCAGAAGACTAACATGCATCTCAGTGGGCCACTGTCAAGGCATGGGCAGGGCTGTGCGGCCTCCTGCTCCAGAATCAATGGCTCCTCTCCCTCTGTCCTCGCTCCCTCTGTTTCACCTCCTTCTCTGACTCTGGTCCTCCTGCCTTCCATTTATAAGTAACATGGGGCCCACCTGGACGAGCCAGATAATCCCCCATCCCTGGGTCGTTGACTTAAGCAGAATGACAAAGTCTGGTTTGCCAGGAAAGCCAATATGTTCACAGGTTCCGGGGACTGGGATTGGGCCCTTGGTGGAGTAGGGGATTATCCTGCCCACCACACCTGGGTTCTTCCTTCTGGGCAACCACGGTGCCGTTCTAAGCACGATGCACTCATTACCCCACTGAATCTGTACACCATCCACATGAATTGGGCGCTGTTACTCCTACCATCCCTTCTCAGGTGTGAGGTACAAGGCTTGTGTCGCAGGCAGCTTCTCTGGGCAGCTTTCTGTCCAGATCTGGTAGCCACACCTTCCCCTGGCCCCAGGCCACCCCTTGTGAATAGCACAGGTATTAAACTCTTCTCATTTACCTGGGTTTTGTGGGCTGGGTCCCTAAGCACCAGCCCTGGTGGGGCTGTTTTGAGAATAAAGAATTTACGGATATCCAAACTGGCCTGGCCCATGCACATTCTCAGTATTGTGAGCTATCATAGTAGCCAGTTTTAATCACTGCTACACCCATCATCCTCTTCCTGCTGCCATTGCTCTGCCCATGAAGGATCCCTGGGCTTTGGTGTCTTCCTCTGTGGCAGACAAGGTAAAGATACGCAGTGGACTGATTTCCAAGAATAAACTTGGGATCGGCTCGTAAGTGGGGACATCTTCTCCCTGTTCTGGTCTCCAAGTATGGCCCCCCCCACACCCCACTGCTCAGGTCAACAATCCGAAAATGTATTTGACTGTTGTGCTTTCTCTTCCTTCCTTGGGCCTTCCAGTCAGCAACTAAGTTCTGTTCACATTGCTTCCTAAATGACTTGGAATCCAGCCTCCTCCTGCCTTTCCACGCCCACCGCTCTAGTCCTTGCCACCCTAAGAACGAAGCAGACTTTCTGTGTCTGTCCACTCTGACCTCATCCTCTTCCCCACTCTTTTCTCTGCAGCTAGAGAAGCAGTCTTTTTAAAAACAATTAATCTGAGCCAGGTGCAGTGGCACATGCCTGTAATCCCAGCACTTTGGAAGGCTGAGGCAGGAGGACTGCAAGTTCAAGGCCCGTCTGGACAACTTAGCAACTTAGTGAGACTCTGTCTTAAATTTAAAAATTTTAAAAAGAGAAATCTGAGAATGTAGCATAGTGCAAAGGCCATAGGTTCAATCCCCAGTACCATAAAATAATAATAATAATGATAATGATAATAAGTGACTGAATAAATAAATATTTTTAAAATTAAAAACTAATCTGATTGCCCTTTCTGTGGCTTCACCTCACTTCTTCCCACCTTAAACCATCCATCCCTGGAAATGAGTGCATCTAGGTTGTATGTGGATGAATCACCAGTAGTTGCTATGCATTTGGAAGTATTCATTTTGTGTGTGTGTGTGTGTGTGTGTGTATGTGTGTTCTGAGTGGGTGGGTGCATGAATGAATGGATATGGACATCCCTAGATGGATAAATTAGATGATTGGATGGGAAGATCGGTGGGTAGATGGATTGATACCTGGGTGAGTGTATAGATGG